CAGAGAAGGACTCCAGTGTTTTTCATATGAATCCTGAAAACCTCTAGTTTTGACAATTAATGTTTTAAATGTGCAGTAAGCAGTTTTCATATTTTATAGTACTACCAAAACTTGATAATCATCTGTGTTTTCTCCCATTTAATTTTTTCCTGTTAGCATTTATTAGCCATTTAAATTGTTTATTCTCTGTAGTTGAAATTCTGGGTGTATTTTAGTTTTTATTAGGTCATTGACCATAAACGTTAGTTTATATTTCAGCTGAATGAAAAGATCCAAGTGATCTTATAGCAAAAAACACATTCACTCATCTTACTACCTCCTCTGCTACAGTTTAGCCAGGTGCAGTGATTTAATTATATATGTGTAAAGTTAAGTAGCAAAATGTTAGAGCTACTGTAATATAGGTTTTCTAGCATTTCCATAAAAATCTCTTTCAAGAGTTTTTAATGCTAAATTTCCATTTAGATTGAAATATGACATTCAAGTTTACCTAAAGCTAATGTAGTAGTAACTTTCACAGAAATCTAGGGTCTTTTAATTGTAAAAGTTCCTGGGTCTCCTTTAAGAAAATGAGAAATCCATCTGAGAGCCTGGCTCACTGACTCACGCCTGTAATCCTAGCACTTTGGGAGACCGAGGCAGGAGGATGGCTTGGGGCCAGGAGTTAGAGACCAGCCTGAGAAAGAGAGAGAACCCGTTTCTACTAAAAATAGAAAAATTAGCCAGGCATGGTGGTGTGCACCTGTAGTCCCAGCTACTCGGGAGGCTGAGGCAGAAAGATTGCTTGAGCTCGGGAGTTTGAGGCTGCAGAGAGTTATGATGCCACTGCACTCTAGCTGGGGCAACACAGTGAGAGTCTGTCTCAAAAAAAAAAAATAAAGAAATCCATCTGCTATGTACTCCTTTTGTCTTGGAAAACTTTACTGTAAGTTATGTGACCAAAGACCAACCCAGAGCCAGAATGAGAAAATTGGAGCAGGACATAATTTGGTTGTTGATTGAGATCTTCCCTCTCTTTTAAATGTTGTGGGAAAACTTGCTTATCTTTATCTGCATTCCATCATGTTAAAAATATTATGAGAGAAAAATTTTTTAAACCCTAAATTAGTCCTATTTATGGTATTTCACCAAAGTTTAATTTATTCACAGTGAAAGAGCTTTTTGTTTTATCGGCACAAATGATCATATAACTACTATTAGGATTTTTAGCTTTGTCTATGCCTTATACTTCCTAATTATAAATCTCAGCTCCAGACATCTACTTAAAATTTTGTCTTCTTTTTTTTCTTTTACATTTATCAGTACTCTGTCCAGAAGACATTTTGACAGGTGATTAGAATAAAAAATAACAGATGAATGTCTTTGCTTTTCACCAAGGGAACCAGACTATAAGGCACATTACTTATTAATTGCTTGAAAAGGGATATCATTGATAGCAGTACTCTAATATGCCATTTTGGGAATTTCTCAGAATCAGCTGAATTCCATTACTGTTAACTGTGAGTAGTCATCAGAATCTCTTATATGCTGCTCACATGGGTGAAAACTGTGACGTGGAGAACTAAATTTTCAGCTGCAGGCTGCAGGAGCATAGTGGGCCTTGTAAGGGTGGGAGTTCTTCTGCCAAGGAGCTCTGTTCATGCTTTTTGTTTGACTTTCATTTCACTTTATTTTGAATCTGGGTTTGCCTTGTCTGAGAATTTACGAAAAGGTGATTTTAAATGTTTTATCACTGGGGTATGGCGTTGCCAGATTTACATACACAGAAGATTCCCAATATATCTGAAATACTGCATGGGACATACTTTGCTAAAAAATTATTTGTTGCTTATCTGAAATGCAGATTTAACTGGACATCCAGTATCTTATCTGGAAGACCTACTAGGGTAACTGTATAATTTATCATCCAAACCAGGACCCTTTTGAGAGTGAAATGGGGCACTATTAATGATTATGCCAGGACAGCAAGCATAAACTGGACTGTCCTGGGAAAATTGGAAAGAATGGTCAACCTAATTATTAATATTAAGAGGTTTTGAAATAATTTTTGATTACTGGTTTTAAATTTTCATAATCAATTGCATCTCTGTCATTAACTTGTGTGGCTATCTTTATGAATGTAAAGTATATTGCTTTATAATTTTTATATTAAAAATTTAATTAAGGCACCTTAAAAACTATGGTGGCCTAATTGCTAGCTTCAACCTTGATACTTGATTAAAGTCCTACTAGTGGTAGAAGGCTACGACTAATACATGAGATTTTACAGTTTAAAATTTTTTAAGTCATTTATGTTATTTATATATGTGTACATTATGATTAGCAGTTATAATATGGAAATTCCATGTGTGTTTTCTGTCTTTTATTTGGCTTAAACTTCTCTTCTAACCTATTAACTTCTTGTTTTAGGGGATTTAGTTAGTGACCTATTCTTCATATTTAGCTTAACTTTCTTAATTGTGTAGCCTTTTATCATTTTCCCTTGGTCAACTTTTGACTAACTTCATTCTGCAAATTGATCCATAAATATTTGAGTATCTGCTGTATGCAAGCTACTCTGCTAAGTACTACAGTGAATATGACATGGAATAAGACTTGGTCCATATCCTCAGAGTTTATAGTCTGTATTTAATATGGAAATCTCTCCACAGCTTCGTATATTTCAGTTGTTCTTTTTCTCTCTCTTCTTTAGCTCTTGTATCTCATTTGAAATATGTCAAGAATAGATGTGCCATGGTTTTAAATAGGAATTGTATGTTTTTTGTTCCAGCATCTATTCTGTTGATGCACAGGATTTTATAGGAGTTTTGGCTACATTAATTAGGTGTGTTAAGGAAATAGCCTATAATTGCTAATTAATTTTTCTGTGTTGTAACTTATAAATTGGAATGAAAGTGTATCAAAGTCCAATATGTTGAACCTTTGAGCAATGAGTCATCCCAGATCACAGTTTTCCAGATTGTTTACCTTTTAACACTTAACAGGATTAATGTCAGATTTCTCTAAAGGAAAAGTTTTCTCTAAATTATTTTCTTGCTTTTCTCTAAATTATTTTCTTGCTTTTACTATTTGAGTATCAATACTTGTTTTATATAATAATGTTAATTTTTAAATATGCTTTATATTGCCCTATTTTTGTTATTTTGAAAAGATATGAAATTATTTTTACTGTATATGCATATGGTAGAAAATTCAAGTGGTACAAAAACATATATACTACAAAATGATCCCTGTTTCCCAGCCACCAATTCTCACCCAAGATAACCAGTTTTTTATGAGTATTTTATATATTCCTTCCAGAGATATATTTACAGATGATTATTTATATATTCTCTTTTCTCCTTTTTCTATATTAGTGGTAATGTATCATACACAATTATTGTATACTTTGCTTTTTTCACATAATACTATGTCTTGGAAATTATTCCTTATCAGGATATACATTTTTGTTCCTTTTTTACAGCTGCATAGTATTCCATGCCCTTATTAATCACTTTTTGTGGTTTCCAGTCATTTGCTATTATATACAACACTTGATAAATAGCCTCAGAACATACTTCATTTTGTACATGTGCAACTCAGTTGTCATGAGTGTGTATATCATTCCTAGAAGAGGAATCCTGGGTCAAGGCACGTTGAATGCTTGCATGTCTTAAATATTTTGTTTTTCTTCAGCCTGAGCAACATAGCAAGACTTCATCTCTACAAAAGATAAAAAAAAAAAAAATTAGTCAGGTGTGGTGGTGCACACCAGTAGTTCCACCTACTCAGGAGACTGAGGCAGGAGGATCACCAGAGCCCAGGAGTTTGAAGTTGCAGTGAGCTACACTGACACCACTGCACTCTAGCCAGGGCAACAGAGTGAGACCCTGTCTCAGGAAAAAAAAAAAATTATTTGTTTTCCTTTAGTCTAAAGATAATATGTGTTTATAGTAAAATTTTAGAGCACTTCAAACATTACCAAGAAGGATAATGTGAAAAATGAATCCTCCAAGCTTCCAGTCCTACTTCCCAGATGTAATACTTTCTTATCTGTCTGTATTTTTTTAGCATGTTCAGAGAAACTTCTCTAATAATGAACTATAGAGATGATCCCTGAAAGTAGTCTTTCTTGTAATTATCAATTTGCCTTATTTTCTTTTTTCTTTTTAAATAAATGGCTGTGTGGTATGTCCACTATATATGTATATATCATAATTTATTAAGTTCTTTTTTGGTAGACATTTAAAATGTCTCCAGATTTTTTTTTTTTTGATACTACAGACAATGCTATAATGAAAAGCCTTGTAGATATCTTTGCACGGTATTTCTGTCAGGTAGAGTCCTAGAAATAGAATTGTTGGGTCAGGAATATATGCATTTTAAATTTTTATTAGTTTTATTAATTGGCTCTCAAAAAAGGTAATACCATTAAATACTTTCACCAGTATATCCTTGCTAACTCTGGCTATTATGAAACTTTTTAATTTTTGCCAAATTAATAGGGGAGAAAGAAATCTTATGCTTATTTGAATTTCTTTTATTATGATTGAATTTTGAGAATTTGGCTATTTCTGTTTGCTGTGAATTACTGTCTGTGTCCTTTACCCTGTTTTCTTATGTGTTGTTCACTTTGTTACTGTTTTTTTTGTTGTTGTTGTTACTGATTTTTAAGTGTCCTTTTTTTATATCAGGAAATTAGTCTGTGGTCACATATGTTACAAATATTTGTTCTCAGTTTGTCATTTTTTACCTGTGTATGGTCTGTAAATATACATAATTTGACCTAAAGAGAGATGAGTGGAGGATAGGGAGTGATGCAGATGAATTGGTGGAGGATCCAGCCCAGTCAAGCTGCTAAACACTTTTTAAATAAGAAAAATGACTTGACAAAAATTATATTGTGCTTTTAACTCCTTAGAGGAAAGAAAATACAAATAAAAGACTATGTAATATTTAGTTGGTATGGAGTATAATAATTGTGATGAAAATATATTTGTTTTATATCTTTTTCCCTCTAGAGGTTTTGTCAGCTATGATTAGTGTGCTGTTGGTATATATACTTATGGGATTCCTCTTATATGAAGCTGTGCAAAGAACTGTCCATATGAACTATGAAATAAATGGAGATATAATGCTCATTACCGCAGCTGTTGGAGTTGCAGTTAATGTAATGTAAGCTCTATATTTTTTTCACATTAACATTTTCAAGTACTGTAAACTTAGAGACTATGTACATGCATTGAGTAATGTGCACGATATTTTCATGTTTTTGAAACTATATAGCATTATACACTAATTTTTCTTATAAATCAAACACTTTGGACATCATAAATTCCTCATTAGTTTGCTCAGGTATATTTGAGTTTGACTAACATTCATGCATTTAAGTAGGACAAAGTTTGTTGTTGTTTAACTTTTAGAATACTTTTGTATTAACTAGATGTTTTTTAACTGCCAATTTTTTTCCTATAAGCTACCAAATTTTTAAGTTATGTATTTAATCATTTAGGCCAGGGGTTAGCAAACTTTTTCTATAATGTGGTAGATAGTAAATAGTTGAGGCTTTGAGAGCTATACAATCTCTTTCAAAGCTACTCAACTCTGCTGTTACAAAACAAAAGCAGCCACAATAAAAAATGTAAACAAATGAGCATGGCTGTGTTCCAATAAAATTTGATGTACAAAAAATGTTAGTGACCCAAAGTGGTCTATTGGCCATAGTTTGCCAATCCCTGCCCTAGTGGCTTCTATTTGTACTTGAATAAAATCAAATGCTTACCATAGCCTTTTTAATAAGACCCTATGTGCCTCTCCAATCATCTCCTAGCTCTTTGGCTTATCTTATTCTGGCTATAATGGCTGTTTTTTGTTTGTTGGTTGGTTTTTAAGTAAATAGAGCGCATTTTTATCTTAGGGCCTTTGCCCTGCTCTTCTTCCACCTAGAACACGTTCACCAACATTTGTTCCCTGAATACTTTCAGGTTTCTGCTCAGACAGAATCTGAGAGAGGCCCTCTCTGACCACGATCCCCATCTTTCTCCATCCTCTTACAATGCTTTATGTTTCTTGAAAGCATTTTGCATTGCCTGGCTGTACATTATGTGTGTGTTTGCTTCTCTACCTTCTATACTAGAACATAAGCCCTATGGGGCTTAAAGATATGTCTGTCTTATTTAGTTTTGACCCCAGCACCTAGAACAGTACCTGATAAATAATAATTGCTCAAATGTTTATTAAATGAATGTGTTCCATGTTACTTCATTAATGTCTGACTAGTAACAAATATTTTTAACAATAACATTAGGAAAATAATAATGCTTTCTTTTATTTTTAACAGAATGGGGTTTCTGTTGAACCAGTCTGGTCACCGTCACTCCCATTCCCACACCCTGCCTTCAAATTCTCCTACCACAGGTTCTGGGTGTGGAAACAGCCATGGGCAGGATAGCCTGGCAGTGAGAGCTGCATTTGTACATGCTTTGGGGGATTTGGTACAGAGTGTTGGTGTGCTAATAGCTGCATACATCATACGATTCAAGGTAATATGATTGCTAATTTTTCTGTTTTAAAATATACTTAATTTCAGTGTTAAAACTAAAGCTGATTGATTGTCTTTTATCAGTATGCTGGATACCAATGCCAGTTTTATTCATTTTACATTGAAATAAGCCGTCAGTATAGCTCTTTTGTTAGCAGTAAACACAATGGTATCACCTCATAGGGTAACTTACCTCTAGTTGGCTTTGATAGTGCCTTCACTCAATTTTAAACCTTGTCACTGAACTGCTAGGTAGTGAAATCCAGGGAGCTGAGTTCTAATCTTGGTCCTGCCATTAATGCTTTGACCTTGAGCAAGTCCCTCAACTCTAAACTTGAGTTCCTACCTCTGTTATAATGGGCTTAGATCAGATGGCTGCTGAAATTCCTCCCAGAGCCAGGCATGGTGGTGCCTACCTATAGTCCTACTACTCAGAAAGCTGAGGCAGAAGGCTCCCTTGAACCCAAGAGTTTGAGGCCAGCCTGGGCAACATAGTGAGATATTGTCTCTAAAACAAACTCCGTCCAGCTCTGATATTCTATGATTCTGGGTGGAATATGTAGAGAAGGCACAGAGAAGAACAATAGAACAGGTGATTAAACTTCTGGAAATAAGTCCCATGAGGAAAGTCATTAATAATCTAGGAAATATTGGCCGGGCACAGTGGTTCACGCCTGTAATCCTAGCACTCTGGGAGGCCAAGGCAGGAGGGTCGTTTGAGCTCAGGAGTTCGAGACCAGCCTGAGCAAGAGCAAGACCCCGTCTCTACTAAAAATAGAAAGAAATTGGCTGGACAACCAAAAATATATAGAAAAAATTAGCCAGGCATGGTGGCACATGCCTGTAGTCCCAGCTACTTGGGAGGCTGAGGCAGGAGGATCACTTGAGCCCAGGAGTTCGAGGTTGCTGTGAGCTATGATGATGCCACGGCACTCTAGCCCGGGCAAGAGAGTGAGACTCTGTCTAAAAAAAAAAAAGAAAAAAAATTAAAAAAAAAAATAATAATCTAGGAAATAGTGAAGATGTTTCTCAATTATAATATCCAGGTTTTAAAGGTATTCTCCAATCCTGCTAAAGAAAGCCAAAGAACAGGGAACATATGCCTTGCATCACTTTATAGTCTATTTTATGTCTGTCTATATTTAATCATAAACTTTTATCTATTACCTTTTAGCCAGAATACAAGATTGCTGATCCCATCTGTACATATATATTTTCATTTCTTGTGGCTTTTACAACATTTCGCATCATATGGGATACAATAGTTATAATACTAGAAGGTAAGATCTCACTAATATCCCCATATGGGTTTATTACTTCTCCAAAGCAAATTGGGAGTCAGGGGGGACAGTCTAGGTAGGACTTTTGCTTTCATCTGTTATTTATTAGGCTATGTAACACTACCTTACATGTATGTAACATATAAGGATCAATACAGTCCCATCTGTTACCCATTTGACCGTTATAATAAGCAAAGTAGGGAAGACAGATAGTAGGATAAATTATCTCCATGTACAAACAAAAAATTGAAGTTCAGAGGGAGAATTTAACCTTGGTTAAGGTCATGCTGCTAATAAATTGTGGAGCTAGGACAAGAATGCAACTCTTGATTCTCACTGCAGTTATGTTTAGTGGTTTATTTATTCTTTAATTCCCATTTAACTTGTGACTTTGTTATATTTACAACATCCTTGTCTTACTGATATCATGTGTAAGCATGAAAATAAAAGTTCTCAACAATAGGTTTATCATCATTGGATATTTCTCTCTTTCTTGCTTTTTTCTTTTTCTTTTTTTTGTTTATCCTAGAGTGTCTGTTAAATGAGTATTCTGGCTTGATTGGCATTCTTTTTTAGGGAGAATAAACTTTTTTTAAGTAGGTATTAATCTCTTTTATATATCCTACATTTTTAGTAAAAATATACATGTGCATGGTTTATCTTAAAGTGTTAATATTAACATATTTTAAAGTATCTGTTTAAACTGAATTTGGCAAAGCCATTTGTTTTCTTTGAAAAATGTCTTATCAGTAATATAAAACCATTTTTTTCCAAAGTAAACTTTACTTATGTATTCCTAACTAATAGGTGTACCAAGCCATTTGAATGTAGACTATATCAAAGAAGCCTTGATGAAAATAGAAGATGTATATTCAGTGGAAGATTTAAATATCTGGTCTCTTACTTCAGGAAAATCTACTGCCATAGTTCACATACAGCTAAGTATGTTGCTGATAGTAAATGTGGGCCTGGGGTTGGTGGGTTTCTATCTTTAGAACTAAACATCTGTGCTTATAATTAAGTAGGAAGACTTCTCTGCTGAAAAAGTTTGTCTTAAGGGAGGGGTGAGGCTCTTCAAAAGGTAAGTGGTAGGTCAGTGTTGATAGCAGAACAATAATTTTTGATATCTTTGAAATGAGGCATTACAAATTGATTTTTGCCTTCAGATTAAAGGCATTAAATATATTTTCCATGCTCTTTTCTATGTAGGAAATGCTAGATTCTTATGTTTTTTATTTCTTTAAGGCATTTCACAGATACTGATTTTTATTTTATTTTTCATCAAAATACATGCATGTGGTTTATTTTTAAAAGTACATAAGATCTTTTTAATGACAGGCTTATAAGTGATGTTTAGTATTCTTTCTCTACCTGAGAGTGGACTGGAGAGATTAGAATAATGAGAAGCCATTATGGATGAACTGACATACTTCTCTACTAGCTTAGAGAGGGTAGAAATCAGATGAATAAAAATATGCTCACAGTATAAGGATTTTTTTTCCCTGTGTCTTTTTCACTAATGTATAACTATGTACAATGAATAGTAATGATATTTTCTTGACATTGCAGTTCCTGGAAGTTCATCTAAATGGGAGGAAGTACAATCCAAAGCAAACCATTTATTATTGAACACATTTGGCATGTATAAATGTACTATACAGCTTCAGAGTTACAGGCAAGAAGTGGACAGAACTTGTGCAAATTGCCAGAGTTCCAGTCCCTAACTTTATATATTTTGGGGACTACTGCCTTATTTATCTTATGGTCACAGACTTGAGAGCAATAAATGCAAACCCAAATGAGAAAATGGGATCCCTGACAGCTGTGTTCATGTCAAGTACCAGTCTCTCAGTCACCCCAGCCTGACAGTACTAGTCTCTGTTAATGGTAAAATGAGACTTCATGATTTTCAAGTGAAGATATTTTCAAAACATTGTTTACAGAATGAGATGTGACTCTACAGATACCTCATAGAAGACAATCCAAGACCATAATTTGACAGAGTACTTGTCTTAAAGGAAGCATCAAGAAGTCAATATTTGCATTTAAAAATACTTTTTAAAGGCCATTTTATATTAAGCCAATGCTAGAAAACTGAAATTTTTTATTATGTAATCTTGACACCCAGCTTCTGGAATTGCTGCTCTTTTTACAGAATTTATTTCTCAAAGGATTTCAGAAAGTATTAGTAATTATCCAGAGAATGGAATAAGCATGTATTCCTAAGTGTTTCAGAAATGTTTTATTTCACAAATAAGTCTTAATGGTATTATAGTTACACTTTACAAACAGCTTTTTCCAGATGCTACAGGGTTTTGAATCTCAAAGTTAACATTATTGATTATTTGTAATCTTAGAACCAAATCTTTACATGTTGCGGTCATTATCATTAAATTATTTAGCAAATATTTTCAATATTATTCTGAATGACAGAAGTTAGTCTTAAACTCAGATTACTATACAGTAATTTAAAACAATAAAGGAGCGAGGATGGAGTATGGAGTTTCAGACTTACGTCTTCCCCAAATCACTTTTATTGTTCGTGGAATTGTCTTAAAAACAGCAAGAGACTGCAAAAGGTAAACGATGGTCCTCTATCCCTTTAAGAACTGCCAACAATTTGTATGAAAAATTTGGTACCTTGGTTCCTGCCTCCGTACCAGATAATCTGTGTGTGTCTTTCAGGGTAAAACTCTAGAGGGCTAAGGTTCAGTTGGTAATACCCATCTCTCACATGTAGATTAACCACATTATTCCAGAGAGAATTTCTGCTTTATAATATGGGTTAGAGATTCTCTATGGACTCCATAAACCCTAAGGTATAATTTTGAGGTTTTCCAATAATACCATAGCAAAACTGTCGAAAGGAGTTGGGGGAAGACAATACTTTGAAAAAACAGAAATGTAAAGGGTTTTTGTCCTCGTGTGTGTGTTTTTTAAAGCACTGGAACAGGAATAGACATTAAATTTGTGTTGTACAGAGACTAAGTCTCCAAACTGAAGGCAACCTAATTGGTAACAGTTGTGTTGTGTTAAAGAGGCAGCTGTGATTATTCATGTTTCATTTTGCAACCACTGGTTTTGAGGTTATCTTTGTGCACATTAGGAGTCCCTTTTCAACAGGAACAGTTTCTTATACCAAGAATGGATATGGTTCTTGGGCTTCTCAGAGAATCAGTAGATTAACAATGTACCCAGAAAGTTATGAGCTGAAATTCTAGATGGTGTGACTTAGTATAAATGAAGAATAGGAAACAGATTTCATCTTCCTACCAAGTACCTTACTATAATTAAACCTAAAATAAGAAAACCTGGATTTACCTAAAAGATTGTTGGGAGTTAATGGTATCATTAAAAGGATTGATGGTACCTAATAAAACCCAATAGATGTTTGTTGAATTGAATTGAAAATTTACTTTATGGGATTCTTATTGTAAAGTCATTTAAAATAATGATTTGAGTTTCTCAGAAATTTCAGGAGCAAATAAACTAAGTCAAAATACTCTTACAGATAGAAGGCAAGTAAGAATAAATGAGAGCTATTTCAGTGGCTACCTGGTCATTTATGGACTTTGGGTATCTGGCAAGATGAAGGAAAATATATGCATTATACACTAATAATTTTCCCATATCTACTGAGCTTGTTTCTTGTAAACTTTCCTTTATCTTATAAAGGCAAATATGGCTTTATAAACCTGTTCCTTAAAAAGTTATTTGAAACAACCATCTAAAATTCATTTGAGAATTGAAAAAGATCCTTTTCTAAAATACAGAAACACCGAAAACTGTTGTAAATCTTAACTATCATGTTCTGCTTAAAGTGAGATACATGTGAAGTTTCCTGTGCTTTGTTTTTGTAGCAATAACTTCAGATTTTGTATTTTTACTTTACTGGGTCTGTTAGATTTGGGAATTGATAGATTTCACTTTTTGTAACTTGACAAAACCCGCAGCGAAGGATGTTAATTTAGGAGATATGAGCAGGATCTGCACAGGTTCCAACAAAGAGCGTTTGGTCTATCCTTCACTTGTTGAGCTACAGCCATGTGTTCCTCTTCTCAACTGAGCTTTCAAAGAGTTCTCTATTGCCCTGTGAAAACCAGTGGCTGAGTTGGACAGACATATCACATTGTTAATTTTGCACTGGGAGAACACAATGGAACAGATCACAACATTAAAACTTGGCAGTTCTTCAGTGCAATGTATTTTAATTAATATTTGCAAATAATCAGAGTTACTTGTATACATAAACCTGTGTTTCACAACTCTTGGCCAAATGCAGCCTTTTGATTTCTTTTAGGAAAAGACCTGTTGTCTCACTAACAATTATGCTGCCTTAGAAATGTAATAGGAATATAGTTAAGGCATATTTCAGAAGGCTTTGATATGCAGAACTAGAAGCTATTGTAATTCCCTACATACATTTCTAAGCAAGAATCATGCCCCTAGACCAACAAGCCACTTCCTACATACATTTCCATTAGGCATGTAATGTGAGCGCAAGTTTTCACAATTTACAGTTCCCATCAGTATTGTTTGCCAAATCACTGAATTTTTTATTTTACTGTTTTCTTTTCAACTTTGGGTGTTTTATATCTGTTCTCTAAAACTAAGTTTCTTGCTCTTAGGAGTCTCGGTGTTCTATTTCTTGACGCCTAGTGTTGCAGCTGATAGTGTTTGTCTTTGGTGGAATTTTCCCATAATAAACATGGTCAAGATCGGGTACATGAGCTTCTCTCTCATTTTAGTGTGAGGAAAAACCATCTTCCCGAGACAAGGCACCATGTAGAAATGTATTTCCAGGTGGGGAAGAACCCTTTTTTAACTGATTGTTCCTGATCCAGATTTCTCTGCACACTAAACTTTACAGAGTAAGTAAAATTTCTGTACTTTACTGTACCGTATAACCACCAGTGAAGATCATTGCTAATAAGACTCTGGGTCATGTTTTCAAACAACCACTCTTACAACCTTTGTAGAGTTAATCATTTGGTTCTGAAACAAGAATTTATTTTCTTTTTATATTAATTTGTTCAACATAATGAATAAAGTGTTCTTACAGAATTTGAGCCCCTTTGAGATAAGGTTTTAGGCAATTTTGCTGTTGACTCTGCCTTGTATATAGTAAATTTAAAGTTACAGAATGTGTTCCTAGACATAAGATTTGTTCATTTAGTTCAGTTTGTCTTTGAACCAAGCTGAGCTCATGAACCAGTTGGGGATTAGTCATAAATGAACAGTGACACCTTGCCATATGCTGTGCTGAGGGGAGGCAAATCTCATCTCCAAATTACTGATGAATCTTCATATCTCTGTAGCCCAAATACCATTTGCAAACCCTAACCCCAGATGTGTCATGTGAATCCTGTCAGCCAGGGCTTCAGATTTGTTTTACTGGTTGCCTATCAAGTATATTGTTTGTGATGTTAGTGGGAGCATCCAAACTAGAGAGAAGAAATTGTTGTGAGAGTTCCTCTGTATTGAATTATGTGCGTGCATTCAGGCCAGCCAGTCTCGGAATTTTCACTTACAAAGGGTTTAACCTGCTCTTCCAGTCATAGTGTGAGGATCAACAAATATTTTCTGAGTTTTGGTAAGATTGGAAAACATTTATGGAGACCTTCCCAGTTAAATCTATGACAGTGTCAATTTAAATTGTGCAATTAAGTATATTCTGAAATAACTGCAACACAAAATTGAAATGTGCCAGTATGTCAGCTTTCCACCTAGAAGATACTATATATTTGGAAAGCTTATACTTCTCTAAATAAATGTTATTAAATAAGCCATATCACAGATTAAGAAATTGTATATACTTTTCTATATACCCCTTCAGAAACCAGGTATTTTGCATATGATTGATTTTAGAAAGATTTTGAAGCTGGGGTTTGTCCATATAATTAGATTAAAGTATATGTATATATACTGTATTTGCAATTTTCAAATTGTAATTTCCTATACATTAAATAAAGTGTTGTTTTGCCATGTGGTTTATTAAAAAGTAAAAATGTACAGTCCCTTAAATTTCTACTCTTGTTATTGATGAATACTAGTAGACCTAGAAACATATTCTTGAAAAGCATTGGAAAATACATTACAACCTATCCAGTTTTATAATCTCAGATTATCATGCCTTCTTGAAAAAAAGTCTTCCAGATAGGATAAAAAGAGATATTAAAATAACCTTTCTTTTTTGATATCAGTCACTCATAATGTTCCTACAGTCCCAGCAACAATGGTAGAAAAGAAAGAAGTCAATAGTGTGGGCCAGGGTCAGCAAACTATGCCTCACAGGCCAAATCTGGCCTGCAGCCTGTTTTATTTGGCCCAAGAGCTAAGAATGGCTTTTACATTATTAAATGGTTCAAAAAAATCAGTAGAATGATAACATTTCATGATGTGAAAATTATATGAACTTTAAATTTTAGTATACATAAATGTTATTGGAACACAGTATACTGATTCAATTATGCATTGTCTATGGCAACTCTTATGCTACTTTGGCAGAGTTGAGAAGTTGTGACAAAATACTATCTGGCCCTTTATAGGAAAAGTTTGCCAACTGTTGGTGTAGACTGTTGTACCATTATAAGGCTATAACAACATATATGGATGCAGTAAACTCTTCTAGAGTCTGCTTAGAAGTTTTTGTGACTGGCAAATCTGAGTCAACAAAGGTTCCTTCTCTCTCTTGACCTGATTTATTTTTAATCCCCCTTTGGGTTTGGGGCAGAATATAAGAAAAGAGTAGCAAGATTTCAATATTATTCATGTACCATATGTTTTATCTAACATCACTAGCAAAGC